ATCCTGATGCTCTGGATACTACCCATCAATCTTCCAGTGTTGGTAGTCTGGATCCGCAACCTCGCAGTTCACTGGATGACACCCTTCTCGTCGCACCACAACATCCTCTCAATTATGCCATTCATCCTGCTCGTCGAAACACTCAGCACCGGTCGCATGGTCCCTCGCGCCGAGTTCCGCGTCTCGATCCTCACAAACATCCTGCTCTTCTCCATCGGCGCATACGCCGCTGTCTATGGCGTCACCTACGCATACGTTCTCCACCACCTAGCCAACATACTATGTGCCTGGCTCGTCGCCATCCACTTCGACCCATCAACATGGTCATCAAGAAGAACAAGCACCCCCATAGAAAGCAGAACCCCCGATAGCGAGACGAAGAAACGACCATGACAGTAGCGATAGTTCGCAAATTTCAATTCTCCTCCATAATTCTTTTTCGGCGTTCAATACCCCACTTTTCTTCTTCTTCGTTCTCTCTCTCTCTCTCACATTGCATGTCCGGGTTGCTACTCCAGCTGGCGTTTTATATCTCACGGCATCAGCATTTTCTCCAAGGAGCGTGTGTAGCTTCTGTTTTGGGTTTTTTTCTACTAGATGATTGCGTTGCATACGGGTGGCGCATATGACTTGTCTCTGGATGGCATTGGGTTGTTTGACCCTTGGGGTTGTATCAGAAGAGGATCTTGGTGGAACAGCAGCGCAATATATGATGGTGTACAGCATTGCGCATATGCAGGCAGAATAGTTAATCTGGTGAAGCGATGAGGCTTCGGGGACTATATTGTGTAATGGCGGATGCTACAATAAGAAGATCAAGTCTCACTACGATACCCTGAGATCAGCATGCTGGTGAAATGTCAGTGCATGCACAAAACAGAACCTCGTCGGATGTGAACGAGCAAATGAAGTTTTCAACTACAACACCATATCTAAACGCCACAAAAATGCTACTTCACCATCTTTTCCAAAAAAGGTTCATCATCTACCTCCTTCTCTTCCCCCCACCCCCACCATCCTCCCCAGAATGACTCCTCTTCTTCCCCTCCCTCGCCCAATACTCCTGCTTCTCCCTCTTCTCCCTCTCCGCCCTCTTCTCCGCATTCTCCGCCACCTTCTTCTTATACGGATCCTTTCTTTCCTCCTGCTTCTTCCTCCTCTTCTCGACTTTATCATTCCTAATCGCAACAACCTGATCCATCAGCCTCCTTGCCTTCTTCTCCTCGCCGCCCACCACCACAGCGCGTTTCTGCATGTACGTCTGTTTCTTCTGCGGTTTGACCGTCGCGATTTGGCTTTTGAAGGGGAGATCGGCGGCGAGTTTGCGGGGGACGCGCAGGGGGTTGAAGACGCGGGTTGGGCGGTCGATGGGGCGGTAGGCGGAGTTTTTCTCGGAGGGCGTTTCGATGCCGTTTTCGTAGCGGACGAGGCCCGTTAGGCGCATGCCCGTCCAGGATGTGGACTCGCCGTCTTGACCGGGCAGGGCGGGGTTGAGCAGGTTGGTGACGGTGTTGTAGAAGCGGCGGGGCTTGATGGGGTACCACGCCCTGAGGAACACGATATCGCTCATGAGGATCTTGTCTTCAAAGGTAGCACGGAAGTTTCCTTCAGGTTTACTGAGAGCGCGCTTGATCTGCCCGCGGACGCCGGAGACGGTGCGTATGCTTGCGCCTTCGAACTTTGCGATTTCGAGGCTCGATTTGAACATGTCTTTTACGAAAGCGGTGTTTTTGAAGATCTTGTAGGGGTGGCCGGTTAGTTTTAGCTTCTTGACGATTTCGGTGGATTCGTCGACGTTGAGCACGACGCCCGTGGCTGCGATGCGGAAACCGGGGGTTTTGTTGGAGAGGGATTGGATGCAGACGAAGCCGGTGTTTGGGGCGACGAGCGGGCCGTAGAAGGTGCCGAAGCAATGCATGTGCTCGGGTGTGTACTTCAGCATGCGGTTCCTTGTTCGTGAATCGGAGATGCTGTAGATGGGTGTCGTCTGGAATCGTCTCCAGCCCAACGAGAAGATGAGGGGATCGTTCGTCTTGAGGATCTTCTTGTGCCATCTGTGGCGCTTGATGCGGATCTGGACGAAGCCGAAGCGCTCTTCGGTTGGCGTCAGGCCACCGATGAGAACGGGGAATCGGGGGTTGAAGTGTGCGGAGAACTCGTAGGGTACGTTTTCGAGCACTATGCGAGCGTATGTTCCCGCCTTGTGGCCTTCAACTTGAACACGAGATATCTCATCCAATTGATCGAACTCGGCGCGGTTGATGTCGAGTTGCTTCTGAATCATGGCCTTCTGTGCGTCGTACCAGTCATCTTCGCCAAACTCATCTTCACCACCACCCTCTTTTCTTGCATCAGCCTTGTCGTTCATAAAGCCTTCACGATCTTCCTCCTCGAACCGAAGCTTCAATTCCTCCTTTCGCCGAGCGTTCTTTTCGCGCTCTGCTTCGATGTCGTTCGTTTCAGCTTCAGCTCCAGTGTTCTCAGTCTCACCACCATGTTTCTCGCCAGTTTCCAGATCCTCAAACTCGCCGTCACCCTCGTCGTCTTCGTCGAAGCCTTCAAAGTCGTCATTATCTTCGTCGTCATCACCACCCTTGCCATTCATATGACCAGTAGCAAAGCGACCCATGAGAGCCTCGACGTTGTCCTCGTCTTCCCATTTCTCGGCCAGTTCTTCGTAGTTGAACTTAGGAATGTAACGGTCTTCAGCGTTGGCAGCATCGTCGGCTGTTCTCTTGTTGAAGAAGCCATCATCCTCGTCACCCTCCTCCTCAATATCTTCCTCCTCGTCATCACATCTCCACTTCTTGAGGACCTCTCCCGGCGCCAAGTCCATATTGTACATCATCTTCGCCAGGTCTGTGACGCGGTACGGTCGTTTCCGTCCGTGTAGTTTCGCAGCATTCTCTCGGAGATTTGCCTTCCACCGTGCGCCATCCTCAGCTTCATCAGAGTCTGAGTCTTGAGAATCAAGATCGCCCTCTTCGAGATCCTCTAGATCATGTTCATCGCCAGATATTGAACCGAGATCGGAGTCACTGTCTGCGAACGCTACGTCCTCGGCAGTGTCCGCCTCCTTCTCTTTGCGCGAGACCTTGAGCTTGCCGTTCGGTGGGCCGTTGGTGTCCAGGAATCCGGTATCGTCTTCGTCGTCGTCGGCATCGCTGTGGTCCTGCTGCAGTTCCTCATCGTCGCTGTCAATGCCATCGAGATCCTCATCATCGACCTCTTCAGCGTCTGTTGCCCTAGCCGTGCGCTGAGACCGTCGGCCCGTATCCGCAGTATCGTCCTCGAGGGTCTTGTTGTCAACGACGTCGCCATCCTTGAACAGCCTAAAGTTGCCGTCGTCTTCACCAAGCAGCTTCCGTCCACCCTGCAGTCCAATCATCATCTGCTCGCCCAGACCCTTCTCTGAGTAATCCGCCTCAGGATCAAACGTGGTAGTCTTGACGTCGATGTAGACGGCGTCCTTGTCGACGAGCACACCACCAACATCCGACATTGGCGCATACAGAATCTTCTGCTTCTCGCCCAATCTTGTGCGCTTCTTCTTTCCAGAAGCCTTCTCCACTGCCTTCTCCGCAAACGGTGTCGGACATGGGTCGGGTAGCGCTTCCGTCGCAGTGACTGTCAGGTCTCCAACACCCGGTATGTGTACTCTCGATGATCCAGCAGGGAAGTTGGTGCCGCGCAGATATCCGTACAGCGCTATCGTGCGATCGCATTTAGGGTTCTGCTCGATATCGGTCGGAGGCGTAATATCCAGGAACCTATCCGCCAAACAGTACGGATGAGAATTCCTCCACACCAACGGTCTAGGGTTCTTCATGACGCTCAGAAACCTCGAGAGGTTCATAATCTCCCTATCTGGGTATCGTCCATTGACCACACCACTGAGATAGAAGAGTTTGGCGCCCTGGTATAATTCGCTCCAGAACCTGTGCTTGAGCCTCTTCTTCTGCAGCTTGAGCGTCTCCTGTTTCCGGAACAGATCCAAATGTGTGAGGATACCGAAGACGTTTCCGGGCATACCGCTTGCGCTCAGGACGTTCAGGAACTCCATGGTCTCCATTTCGAAGCCGTAGTTGCCGTCGATCATCAGCAGCACTATGTCCACCACCTTTGCGATGTCGATCATGCTGGCGAGCGAGTCGGCGGGACATTCTAGGAACGTGAGGCGGCGGCGCTTCGAGGTGACGACTGTGAGGGGGCCCGTGGGCGTGGAGAGGGTCTGCTTGGTGTACCGTCTGATCAAGCTCTTGATGAGAGTAGTCTTACCGACACCGGGAGGGCCGACGACGCCGACGATGATGGGAGGTGCTTCTTCGGGAAGACGGTCGACGAGCGGGACGTGGAGGCGCTTTTCTTTGACCTGGAAATGTTAGCCAGAGTGGCGCACAGCTTCGACTCTTACATACTTCAGTAGAGCGCGCAGCATTACGCTTCAATTTGCCCGGCGCTGAGAATGCGAAAGCCTTGGGGTTCTTGTCTCCCGTATGCGGCTTCTTCTCCTTCTTCGGCCGATGCGGCCTATTACTCTGTGCGTCCGCCATATCTGCTGATTTTCGTATCTCACTCTCAGACTCCAGTGGAAGTCGTCAGAGTGGCGTGTTGGGTCTCGACTCGTCGCGCGCAAAGTCAAAGATGGAGCGGCAAGCAACTTCGCGATCCCAACTTTTTCGGCGCTAGTCCAGCCGCTAAGGCCGCAGCTGCAGGGATGTGCTTATCGATAAGAGCGCGCGCCTCCCACGTACGGGTGGTGGGGCAGCATGTCTTACATGGCGCTGAGGGTGGGCATAGTCTGGACAGCGCACGTCATCGTCAGACCAAGCCTATCCAAGGCTCTAGGTTGCTTGTTGACAGGGTCCGACGGAGAGATAGCTGAGGTATATAAGCCTTGACACGCTTTGACCTTGCTGCATCAACACCACAACACTGCAACTCAGCTTCACTAAACTACCCCTCAACTAAACCAGCAAACCTCACTACCAACTCTCAACATGCCTGCCTTCATGGTGAGTCCTCCCAAACACACTATAGTCTGTATCATACTAACGAGTCCAAGGTCACCCTCAAGGACTCCGCTCCCAAGGAGGAGCTCGACAAGGCAAAGCAGCACGTCACCGACCAGGGCGGCAAGATCACCAACGAGTTCACTCTTATCAAGGGCTTCAGGTACGCGTCTCGACACCCAAACTTCCCCGCAATCATACTGACACACCACAGCGCCGAGATCCCCGACGACGTGGTCACCACCCTCTCATCCAACGAGCACGTCAACGTCGAGGCGGACGGAGAGGTGAAGACACAATAGAGCTACTACACGACTGCCGCTGATGGGTGCACAAAGATCAAGATGTGATGCCATGAGCGGAAGCATAGGGCATGATGCATGAGCATATGATTTCATGGGTATATAACGATAATCAACGGCTTTACCGACAACATGACGTCGTTTCGCTGTGATTCCTTCATCTCTGCCTCCTCGCGTCTTCCCTAGCCTCCTGTACAGTGTCTACTCTGCCCACTCCTCTTAAGCTGAGGTACACATCGGTACCCCAACCCCAGAGACTCTGTACCGCAATGCCACCGCCAAAGTATTCTGCGTAGGCTCTTCCCAACGGCAGTCCGTATCCCAGGCCCGCTAGACTGTTCACTCCGTCACCTCCTGCCCCTGAGAAGGCGTTCAGTGCATCCATGCCGGTGGCTGAGTTGCTACCACCAGAGAGGGTGGAGGTTGCCTGCGCGTCGTTGAAGGTTGTGAAGCTGTAGTCCCAGATGTGTGAGAGATTATCGGGGGAGATGCCGCCGCCTCGGTCTCGAATCCGTATCGTTACGCCGGGTGTGCTGTGCTTGAGCGGGAGGATGTTCGAGTCGGAGGGTGGAGACGTAGGCGAGCTGTTGCCTGTAAAGCGCTGCGAGACCTGATCTACATTGCCCTGATCCTCATTGTCAACCTTCTTGTTGCGGATGTCTTCTGAGCTCTCGCTGCTTGCATCCTCAGGCAGGAGTTCTGGAAGCGGGGCAATGGTGACTTCAATGGGTTCGCGTTCCATGCCGCTTTCCACCGTCGCGCGGAACGCGTTCTTGAGCAACTCAGTGATGATGTATTCGAGATGGACGGGTATATGCGCGAATTCGTAATCGGGCTCGCCGTTGATGAAGATGGTCGGTCGGACGCCGTATTTCAGCTCGCAGATCTCGCCTACCACGTTCGCGCAGTGGTCTACTATCCTCGCCGGCCTGAGTCTTGTGTCGATAACACCAATATATCCTGGGCTCTCGTCCACTTCATGCATCATCTCGCAATGCGGCTGACTGGAGAAGTGCAGCGACAGATGCTGTTCCGCAATCAATCTTGTGCCTATCCGCGCGCGCAGATGCTCGTCCAGAAACCGCGTCACATCCTTTGGGCTGATGTATTTCCTCGCCTCCAGAAAGCCTCTCGCCAGTATGCTAATAGTATTGGCATGTGTTTGTACCAGGTCCGCCATAACCTCCGTGAACTTGACTTCCTCCTCCAGCGTCTTTATCTCCTGCTCAGCCCATGGCAGCAGCGTCGACAGGCTGTGCATGTAATTAGAGTGGATCTTGGAGACATGAGGATTGGAAACGACGATGAACGGGAGGTTGCGGAGGGATTGTATGCGGTGCGCGAGGCGGGCGGGAAGGATGGAGAGGGTGAAGTTGGCGGACGTGAGGAGTTGTTGGGTCGTCAGCGGTGGTCTTCCGTGTCTGTTGCGCACGCGACAGCGTTAGCCAGGGTCCTCGGCAGATGCATTGGGAAAGACGGGTCTGACAACACTCACTTGACGAGGTCGGCGAGTGTCAACGGGTGTAACGGTAAGCTCGCCAAATGCGAAATGTCGTTGTCGGTAACCGTCTTGGTGTGCAGCTTTCGGTAGCAGCTTCCTCTTGCGAACAGCGCGCTGTTTGTTCTTCTCGCCGTGCGCGGGCAGCATAGTCGTATCATTTGCGACTGTATGATAAGTGGCCGCTGAACTTGCGCCATGGTACTGTATGGCAGCACTCTGCTACAGGGTCCGCGCCGGCTGGTGCTGAAATGACTCCTCGGTCGTGTGAAGAGCTGAATGTGTGACTGCTAATTGAATAGAGTCATGGACATTCCTAGTGGGAAGGTACCAAAGCTAAAATCGATTCGGCATTATGGAATGCGGCTGCCGTCTGAAGTAGGCTCGGACGCGCAATATTCCATTGCAGCGGGAGCAATTGAGTTGTGGGGGAAGCTTCACCAAGCTCACCTGGGCGGGCGGGATCCGAGCTAGCGGTGTGAGGCTGATGTCATTCGTGCATATCCCACGCTCGAGCATCAACACGACAACTCGATTTAATCATCAACACCTTCCCCTGGGACATGCACAAGATGCCCCCACGGTCCGGAAACCGATTAAGATTGAAATTCGACAGGTTCCAGCCATTCTAGAGTCAGCATCATGAGAGTGGATGATCAGAGATCGGGTGAACATCTCAGCATAAGGCATTTTGTGAAGAAGATGCAATATTGATTGGTATATCAAGAGATCTATATCGACCGTCCTAGAACCCCCATCTCCAACCCCCATCTACAACTTCGCCTTCGCCGCATCAAGAGTAGGCAGCATAATATCCCTCATATCACCCGCCGCCTCATTGAGGTAAAAGCTCATCTTCTCCTGTTCATTGTTAGCCATCATCCCCCCATAGTTCATCTCAACATTAAAACTTACCGAACCAAGCCCCTTGGAGCAAACATTAAACTGAATGCTATTCTCGTTAATCATGTACGCGATACCCCATCCGTCATCGATAACTTGGCTCCATCCATAGCCGTTGAAGTACTCGCTCGACAGCTGAGAACTCGAAATGAACCATGTGGAGCTGTAAGTGTAGGCTGGGTCCTGGTACAAGGCAGGCACCTCCTCGCCCTCCTTGAGACACTTCTTCAGGCCGAAGAGATGGCGGTCTACACCGCGGCCGTCGCTGGCGTCGGAGATGTACTTGACGTGTGCGTCGAGGGCTGCGCGGAGCTTCTTCGAGCACTCCTCGGGTGTAGCATCGGCATCGGCCATGGCGTTGCAGAAAGCGACGGATTCGTCGGAGACGGTTCTGCAGGTTTCTGTTCGGCCTTGTTGGAAGCGACGGGTCGCGGCGGACTCGTAGGTGGGACGGTTCTTGCCGTAGAACTTGTGGTAGGCGAGCTGGATGATCATTTGGACGTACGCGTCGGGGCTGCACTTGAACTTCTTGATTAGGCCTTTGCCGTAGCCTTGGTAGGCTTGCACTCTGAGCTCGTGCGCGCCGATCTGGCGGGAGAAGTGGGATTGGGCGTCGGTGATGTCTTGCTGGAGCTCCGCGTTGATCTCGAAGCGGAGGGGTTTCGGGTTGGGCAGGTCGGAGCGGACGTTGGGGTCGTCGAAGGGGAGGGCGTTGGTGAAGATTTGCTGGTTTGCGTAGTCGTTGAGGCGGTGGGTGGGTGTGCCGTCCATCATTGAGTGCTCGCCCATGAAACCAGATGTGCCGTTCTCGTTGACGATAAACTGGAGGGGCTTTTCGAACCAGCGGTTTGCGCCGTCGCCGTGCCAGTACTGGTGTGCGCGCTCTTCGAGGGTGACAGGGGAGGCGTCGTCAAGGCAAACGACGAAGGAGGCGGCTTCGATGGCTTCGAGGGATGCGGCGTTGTTGGCAGAGGCAGCCTTGAGCTTGGGGTAGACGTCTGACCAGACATCACGGTTCTGGGATGTGAGAATACCGACTGCGGGCGCCTTCTCGGCCTTTTCGTACACGCGCTGGAACTGGAGCTCGAGCTCGCTGGTGTTGAGCTGCTTCCCGTTGATCTCATGGGGGATCTTCCAGAACTGGTTCTTCCTTATCGCAATGATGTGCGGGTTCTCCTTGTAGGGGTACTTCGTGCTGGTATCGGATGGCTTCTTGGGTACACGGCAGCAGTTGAACATGTGCTCGTAGGAGCTCATGGCCATGGGGAGCTTCTTCATGTACTCAGGCTCCAGGCTGCACTCATCGACCATCTTCTTGAACTCGAGCACAGCTGTTGAGAGAGCTGCAGCGCGCTTTGCTGGGTTTCGCCTCTTCCTGTCATCGCGGTGCGAGTAGAAGTAGCTGACGTATGGCACGACGGGGTCGCGGTAGGCCATGTACGCGGCATCGTTCCACCACTCGTAGATCCAGTTCCTGTGCTTGGGGTCCTCTCTCCGCTCTACCAAGCGCTTCTGGAGCTTCTCTCCAGGCCCGCCAGGAGCCACAAACTCATTGACAGCCTTTGTAGTCGCGTCGAACTCGTTTTGGGAGAGGAGCGGGTGGACGGACTTGAGGTATCGCTTGGCGGTCTCCTCTAGGGTGGGGACGGGGAGTCGCGGAAGGGAGTCTTCAAAGCGCAGCATGGCACCTTTGCTGTGATCCTCCTTGTAGCCTGCGCAAACCTCGTGGTTAGTTTTGAACCATCCCAAGCATGTGAAAGCAGCGCATCCACTTACCCGCTGGCAAACTCGACTGTTTCCGTGCTGGAGCCATTGCGACAATCTACACGCGCCAGATGTCAGCATCTCCTCCCCACCAAGACTGCATCCTCTACGCGACAACATACTCTAGGCTTCGCAAAAGCGGGCTGGTTCAAAAGTGGTCTGCGAAGTATCGAGGCGGAGGCGGGTACTCGCGCGCGTGCAGCTCTGCTGAACATCACAAAGAAAGATAGGTGAAGTAACCAGGGAAGAAATTACAGGAGATGATATCAGAAGTCCTAGCTTTCAGTAGATCCGAGGCCAAATGAGCACGCGCTGGCTGCGATGACCGGGGTGGAGCTGTGAATGGAACAAGCCGAGGTTGTCGGACTAAGGTTTCGCTGATGCCGGTGACGTGATGTTTGCAGGTCTGACGGCCGCTTGCCCGGATGGATGCAACGAGCGACCATCTTATATGCTCTGCTAAATTTGTCCCAAGACACCAAGACTGCAGCTTCTTTCCTTCTCAGCCTGTTTGCGAAATGCCATGTTTCCGACGTGTACACATCGCGATTCTGGGGTGCCCCGCGGCAGTGTCCCCACTAAACACGGACGCGACGAGCCGGTAATTTCACACCCACAGCCCAGGAGCCGAGGAAGGGATTCCTCGACCGAGCGTGCAAGCGCGCAAGGCTATAAAGAGCCTCATTTGGTCATGTGATGGATGAGGCTCGGTCTAGGCACGGGGCCACGGAGCCACAGTTCGTACGAAGACGTCGGTGTCTCCATTTCGCTCCTTGGCGTCGACGCTGGATGCGCCTCGGGTAGTCGTCAGAGAAACGACCATGACGAAGTTAGATTGAAGAACATTCGTCTGAACCGCAAACTAAGAAAAGTCAGTCCTCCGCATCATGAAGCATCATAGGGTGCCTCCAGCAGTCCATGGAGGGCACGACATCGTCAATATCTGCACAGCTTACCCCAAGTTGCTGATCACACAACGTGCCGAACAGGCAGTTGAGCATAATGTCGAACCACGCTTGTAAACGGTACATCAAGGACCGGGTCATGAAATCCGGTATTCCGTATACGATTCTCCAACAGAATACCTTTATGGACGATATTAATGTTGCTATACTTGCTCAAAATTAGAGACCTGTTCGGCCCCCCGGTGTGAAAAACGCAGGATAGGTCTTCCATGCTGGCGTTAAGTGATTTTGTGGAGGTAAGGATGACTGTAGTGGAGGAAGGAGAGAGGAACTTCTACGCGGTCTATCCGCTTACATCTAGGTATCGGGCTATGAGTTCCGAGGAGGCTTTGAGGGCAGTGTTTGAGGAGATTGGAAAGGAGGTGCTGGCTGAGAAGAATTTGGTTAGGGATGAGCTGGATGCGTTGCTGGAGGATAGAGGGAGTATGAATGGCGGGGAGGATGATGTTGCGCTAGTATGGGAGGGTATTGATTGGGAATCATAATGTGCTGGGGTGGGTGGTTGGGAGGGAGGCATTGCAGTTTGAGGGGTTTGTTGATGGGATGGTCAGGGGGAAGTGAGAGGTGAGCTCAGGATGAATATGGCATGATGGTAATGATGTATTTTCACTTTTGTCTTCGACAATGACATCTCTTTCTGTCTCTCCCCATCTCCAAAGATACGTTGATCTCTCTTCCTAAGAGGGATGTAGAGCAGAACAACCCCAACACCAACGCTTCCCAAAGAGATCCTTGCACATGCTCGTCTTTCCAGACACCAGCATTGCCCCAAGCGAAGGAACCGGAAAGACTCCGAACCGAGAAAAGTGTGTTGTAAATATAAACATAAGAAACGTCGCAGTGACGGGGTATAAGATTCAATAGGTTGTGTCGAAAAGGTGTTTGAGCAATGCGATTAGACTTTCGCATTGCATCGCAGGAATGTACGGACATTCGGACACCGACCGGGGGATTGTTCAGTCTCGGTGTGTGTGCGTCCGGGGCTGTCAGATGTTTGACGATTCGGTGGGGTGGTCTTCCGTGCTGTCGCGTTTCATGTCACGGATCGGTGTCCGATCGGACTTTCGACAACCTCTTGCAGTACAGCATCAACGCCATCGAACGTGTTATCGATGATGCCATCTCTTAGTACTCAGACCAATGGCACTGCTCGCCAATCTTCTCAAACTCCAAACTCCTGTTTACACGGCGCCGTGCGCGCTCTTCGCGACCAAGACAGCAGAACAGGCGTGCGAGGCCGCTGCGCTTCCGTGGCTCGAGACCCTCGTAGGGGTTCTCTTTGGAGTGCGAGGCTGTTGTTGATGCAGGGCTAAGAGGGATAGTAGCGTCGGCGAAGATATCGCGAGGTTTGCGCGGATCCTTTTCCGAAGTGCTGGAGTAAGGCGAGTTTGTTTGCGATGAGTTGGTCGAGAAGGATGTGTCGAGTGGAGAAAGCATTTGCATTTGGCGGTTTGCTCGTGGGGAGCTGGGGAGACCGCTAGGCGAGAGTGGTGGGTAGGCCATTTTTGACGGAAGAAGAACGGTTGTTGTAAAGCGTGTGTGTGTTGGAGATGGCAGTCTCGATTCAAGAAGGAAAGGAAGCGTGTGAATGATTATATGCGATCGCGACCGGTGGTTAATGGATATCAGTTAAGAAGCGAATAAAGCCGTTATATGAGAGAAACAATGTTTGTATGACAAGAAAATGGCACCAAGGGGACGCAGAGGCGTATATGTTTATGCCGATCCATCATCCTGCCGTGACCGCAATCATACGTTACCCAGGGGGGGAAGGCACTGCAAGGTATCTCCACGCCAAGGGTCCGACGCCGTAAGATGATGGCCAGGGGCACCACGCAGACGCAGCAGCGCGGGGCACCGAATGTCCGCCACCAAAAAGTATCCCCGGTCTGTCACTGCCGCAAAACGGGACATTTACAGCAAGGCGTAAGTTTATCCGCAGTTTCACAGGGCGACGATTTGTGTTTTCCATTGTTGGATTTTCGCGGCTCTTGTCCAACCACAACAATCCGCGTCGCGCAAGACCAACCAACAGCGCGCAGCAAATGCGGCGTAAGGCGCAGACTCGCTGCATGAAGGTCTGAAACCACGCCGTCTTCATGCGGAAAGGCTAGACCAAACGTTGCCAGAAAGCCTGAGGCCCGCGCTCCCAAAAGAGTCAGCGAACCTGTTGTTCCTGCGGAAAACGAGCGTAGGCAAGGCTGTTTGTTGGGTCTGACTGCGTTTGTTTTTGCAATGACCCCCCCTGCTCACCATTCCTTGAAACGGTCTCAACGTCGCACGTCTGTTGGAAACAAACGATGGATCGCTGGTCACCTCCCGCGCCGCGTATGTTGTTAATAGTTGGCTATTTCCCATGTTCATGCGGAGGATGGGAGGAGCGAGTTTCGTTACATGTCGTCCCGCGATTGCGCCGATGGAGAATCCACCGGGTGAAGTCGTGCTGTCAGCACTGGACTTCGGACCGCGTGGTGTTGGTTGAGCTGCCAACGTGGATAGTGGCATACGTAGTACGCGTGTTGTCTGCAGTTGGAGGCAAACTTTCATTACTAGTTTCTTCGAGTGACCTGTCAAGTGACGGACAGTTGACGACATGTGGATATATCTACGCGAGCTGGTCGGTTTGTGCATGATAGTTGTTGGTTTATCGCCGGCATTGCGTGCGGCACAGCACCGTTAGCACTTCCCCGGGATCCTGCAATCCTCCGTGAAGCTTATCTCTGTATTGATGCAGTTCATGCGAGATGACGAAGGCGATTCCTTGACTGACTTGCTGTGAACTGCGACCAGACTCATCGTTCCCAAAGACGAGTATGACTGAGCGCTGTCACAAGTCGTTGGTTGCGGGGAGTATCTACCGTGTTCGTGAGCAAGAGCCGTACTGTGTGCATGCAACGCGTCAAGACTGCCTCGCCAGATATACGTGCGCATCTTAACGCGAATGCGGCGTGGTTGCTTCGCCGCAGTTGGCGTTGTGCGGCACAGCTACAACAGACGCTTATCTAGCTTTTTGTGATGAGGATGATGCGTAAAGCCTGCCGAGGTATAAGGGCACTACTGGAAAGTAAAATGAGCGAAAGCCATAGGGCCTTCCATACCAGTAGGCTCATGCTATGAGGTCTGCGCTACTTGCAGCCTGCTTTTTCAGGCCATGAGGCAGGAGCGCAATGCCACTACAGTAATGAAGAAAGATACCTGGACTCATATAAGGAAGAGAATGAGTAGGCATAATGGACTGAGGTGGAGAGGATTGTTTGCAATGCGTTGCCGCGTCATGTTCGCGGTTCAGTGAAAGAACGAAGAGAAAGACGCGCTAACCCAAAATGGATGACGCGCCTCCACATTCAACTACCGTTACAACCACTATTCTAAGATTATAACTACTAATAATTCTACTAGGTGTCTAATTTAGGTTATTTAACTTATAATTTAATATATTTAGTATAGTAGTAAAAGTAGCTATACTATAAGTATAAATTCTATAATACTATAGTTACTTATTTTTAAAGTATAAATTTTTATATAAATAGTACTTAAAATTTTTTTATAATACTCTAAATATTATTTTTATTAAAATATAGCTAATTTTTATACTTACTAGTAATTAAACTAACTTTATATATAAAAAATATAAATTAGCTTTTTTATTTTAAAACTTAATTTAGTAGTAAAATAAAATACTTAAGTATATTACTACTTATTATAATACTAGTAAGTTTAACTAAAAAAAATACTAATATAAAATAAAAGCTTTAATTTATAAGTAAGCTAAAGCTAAGTTTTTTTTTATATATTTTATAGTAACTATACTAGTAGAAGTTTATATCTTTATAAAGTAAAAATATAAAGCTTTTACTTACTTTTATAACTTTATAATTAGTGCTTTTAATACTAGTATAATAATTTTTTTAATTTACTTTTAACTAAAAGTACTAAGTAACTTTAGCTAAAAAAAGTATAATAATACTATAAAGAAAATTTTACTAAAATTATAAACTAAAGCTATAAAAGTAAAAAAAACTTTTTTATAATAAAAAATAATTAGTTTATAATAGTAGTAGAGATACTTTAGAAGTAGATAAATAATTAGTATAATCTTAATGCCTAACACCTCTGTAACATAATGCTAGACACTAGGGGCACTAATAATTCTACTTTCACCACTGGCTTCTATTCTTCTTCGCTCGGGACCTTCTCCGGCCGCCCGTGCTATCCTGTCGACCACGTTCATTAGTGTCAAAGTAAGCTGACTTCCACACGAGTAGTCCCGAGGTGGTCGCGAGAAGATCGAGATGTCATTTCAAATAAACTTTCCCATTCTGTGCACTGACTACGACCATCACGGGAAAGGGGGTATAGAACGCCGTTGCACATGCTATTGCTGACCACGAGGCTCAGGTCGTTGATAGCCTGAACCTCAAACGCCTTGTCCATGAATACGAACTCAACTGCACCTCCTTTCGTGGACAACCAAGATACCATGTTGCGCCTGCAATGCTCTGGACGGCGGCGATGTTGTGACTTTAAAGATACATGTTTTCTGTAAGTCGTACCTTCGGTGCCCTCATCTCGCTCCGGAAGAGGTTTGTACATGTCGGAACGTATGCATCATACCTTGCGAGCCTTACGGGGTGGAGGGGGGTGAGCCGTGCGCCACGTGACCTTGAAGTCGTTGCTGGCTTCCACGTCGGCATTCGCAGCGAGGGGCGCAGGTACGGGGAGCCTGCACTGCTGAATGTACTCATCGACCTGGCTTAGCATGACACCCCAATGGTGATTGGCTTCTGCATGCTCGATGGCGATGGTGAGACGACCACGATGCTGACCTTGAGGAGCGCGGCCCTCAGCAAGTTCGTGGCGAAGTCGAAGTAGTTGTACATCTGCCATCAGATTTTGTACGCCACCGGTGAAAATACTAGGGGCAGGGACCCAAGAGGAGGCAGACTTGTCGGCAACGAGAGGTCCGTAGTCCTCTCGACTCATCTTGGTCAAGGTACTACGGAGCCTGTCGGCTTTCGTCGCAATGTCAGGAACATCGTCAAGGCCTCGCGCCCAAAGCTTGATGAATCAGCATGCTGAATCTGCCTGCTGAAGATTGGATGTCACTTACCATCATTCTCGCAATGACTATGAGGTCTCCGCTAGCGCGAGCGCGAGACATGAAACCATACCATCGATATCCTAATGGAATGTACTACATGATTGAACGTTAGTAAGAGCAGAGCAAGACTTCGGGTGATGACGAAAACTGACAGTAGCCATCTCCATGATAGTGATATCGAAAGCGAGCAGGTTGAAGTTGAGGCTTGGGGGTGGCGCCTTGAGGTACAGAGTCTTGTTGGGACCGTTCAAGGCTCCATTACCATTTCCAAGGTTAGCGTTATCAGAGATATCCAGCGGAGTGACGGGGAGGAGGTTGAGATTTGTTGACGATGAGACTGAGAGAACAGGAACCGGAGGTAGCACGGCGACTGATGACGCGGTCGCACCGTGTTGGGCCGAAGGAGCCGCTCGATTTGTCGCAGCTGTACTGGCCGGTCCAGAAGTAGATGGGCCGCCGGCAGCGTTGTTCGAACGGACCAAGTGTGCGTAGAATGATTGGGCAGACGGCTGATGTAGAACCTGGGCAGTGCGGCGGCGAGGAACGCGTCGATAATAAGTACCGCTGCGGCTGAGAGCGACTAATGCTGCTGCAATGTTCAGATGAAGCAGTTCGGCCTCCAATTCAGCAAGCAAGCCATGTTCGCGGAATTCCTGCTGGATGTGATCAAATTGCGCCTTGTTGTTGTTGCTGAAATGCATTCGCAGCTGACTCTTGAGCTCCTTGTACTTCTTGATGTACGCGTCGTGTGAGTCGGTATCTGGAGTTGCTGCGTTAGAGATCTTTAGCTCTTGAACAATGGACAAGTGTGCTCGGAGTTCTTACCGTGGCTGTCCATGTCGACATCATCGGATTGCTCGCCGTTGCCCTCGTCGTTGTTACCCGCCTGACCGTTGTCCTTGACTTGTACATCACTGCCAGTGTTGCCGTCGGGATGGCCGTACTCCTTGTTGATATCTGGAGTGACGCACTTGGTCTGGGCCTTGTTGCTGTCGGTGGCGGCCATCGTATCGGAATGCAGGGGAAACATGAGAGCGAGAAAGTAGAGCCTCGCGGTATCAATTCCAATCGCGACGTTCAGAGAGCGAGAGAGCGGGCGTCGGCGTTGGTGGGGGAGCTGATATAGGCAGGAGGAGTCGGAGCTCTCGCTTAGCCTCAGCGTCCTCTGTCCCTTCACTGACTTCCAAGTCAACGAAAAGAGGCACCAGTACCGCTCGCAAGACGGCAGCGGCTTGAGATCGACGACGAGAAGCCTCTGGTAATGCTCAGACACCCCTTCAATACGCTCAAGCACGCCCATCACAAGGCCAAGCATCCCCATGTTGGCCTCCTCCAAGACCCGGCAGTGCACCACCACCCCCGCAAGCCCCGACAGGGCTGATGTCGACGAGCTCACGCACATCCGATGGCGAACAAGGGCAGGAGCTGTCGGTCGTCTTAAGGATTTGACAGGCGCAGCGACTGCATGTCAGCTTGTCGTTGAGCTGTACAAGTCGAGGACACAGGTCCCATCGGACCCCTGGATGCACACCACTGACGACGCGTCCTAGCAGAGACCGGGCTGCGGAGGCCAGCAAGCTGTCCCGACAGTCGCTCGCGGCATCGACGACCCGCTCATCCGACGGATTCGGGATCTCAACCTCAATCAGCCTCTCCCGCATCACGACAGCCCTGCCCGGTCCGGCAAACCCCCAGAACACGACGACCCCAACGACCCCGACGAAACAGAAGGTCTAGACGGGCGAACCTTGGTTGTTCGAAGATGGTAAAGCGAGTCACCCATTGCCGCTGAGCACGGGGCTCGGCAGCCCATGTGCGGATCGGATGCGAGACCACACCCCGGGTATACCATGGAGGGAATCAAAGGCGAGGCATCGCTGTATCGGGGTTGTCCATGGAAATCCACGTCGAGGGGTCCGGATACCCGTAGAAGGAGCTCTTCTTCGGTCTGATTGCGGCACGCTGGTGCGCTTAAGATGCCTGGCCTCCATCCCTGCAAATGAGCAAGCCTGGCAGTCATGAGCCTATGCCACCAAAGGACAAGGGCTCTTCCATAAAGTCCTGAAGCATGCCGGAGTTCTGCAAGGATAGCAGACCAAATGCGCACGCTGAGTGAAAGCGATCATCTTTGACACATGAGACGAAGGGCTTCCGGGCGCCGGAACACATTCAGCCAGTGCTTAGACGAGGGCGTCACCAAGAGCTTGGGCTGAGTATGTTGACACGCCATACTGTCAGGCCTTCTGAACCTGCATGATGTCTTCCTCCACAGACATGACAAAGGCGTCCTTACTTACTGCGATTTAGTAGCGGTAGTCGAATGGATCTGGCGACAACCGTTATGTGCTCTACGTCGCAAGCGACTCTGATCGACGCTACTCGTCGTGGTGAACTGAGACCGACAGCGAATTTTGTCCCAAACCAAGCGAGCTGGACTATGATGACGTCATCGTCTCAACCCTAGTGAGCTGAGTTCAGAAGACCTCCATGATCGTCTGCGGGGAGGCTTGCCAGTCGATATCGTGAGCTACCCCACCAGCTGCAAATGATCATCTCCTATTGAGTGCCCGTTCGTGGACGCCTTCAGGGAGCTGAACAGATCTACCCGTAGGTGGTCCGTTTCATGCGATCTTGAGATTTGATGTTGCCGTCCAAGAGAATATCGCTTGCGACAATGAAGTGGAATGTTTCAAAGGTCCGAGAGGACGGCGTTGCAGCCTCTTCATCCTCCTGATACAATTCGATAGACAAACCAAGCCGTCCTAAATGTGGATTCGCCAGCGTGCATGCATGGCCATCCACAAAGTCTTCGCAAGGCAGCTGATGAGGCCAGTGTCAAGGTCTTCCGTAGCGAGGTGGGTGTCTAGAAGGGGCAGAGTCCTGTAGTGTACAGATTCCCAAGTCACACCCCTTGGAACACTTTATGACCAAGGGTCTCCGGCAATGGCGAGCCACGTGCGAGCATGCAATGCTTCGTCGATGGGGCGCGATTACGAAGATGTGTAAGAAACATTCCGAAGCAGTATTTGCCCCACGGGGCTTTGAGACCCCAGATCCAAGCTCTTTCTATGCATCTGTGGCTTGGTGTCCTGAGCATAGATTTTCGGCAGTAGCGCGCTTGCCTGGTACTGCAGCGTTTGCCTGGTACTGCAGCGTTTGCCGAGAGTCGCTGTTAGAAAGGCCTCGGGAGTAAGGAGGGGTATATGACGCGTCCCGAGGGCGCGATAAGCTACTCTTCAACCATGTCGTATCTGGGAAGCCTGAGCTGCTGCCGTGATATGAGGGCTCTGGGAAGCCGACGTCGTTACGATCGAGAGTCATGTATGGCTCAGCGAAGACTAGTGCCGTGCGCATGCGCGAGCGCGTCGCTAGTCCGCTGTGGAAGCCAATACTGTCAGCTCGCTGTATGAAGTCACCAGGGCAGACAGCGTTTCACGTGCATCTTTGTTGATGCGTGTTGCGTAGTCGGGTGAGAGGTGAGGAGGTGTCGAAGAAGGAGGCGTGGTCTGGCGAAGGAAGCGGCCCCGCTGGCCGCCGAGGATGCTTGCGGAGATGGCTCGGGCTCGGCAGCCGCGCCAACGTCATCATCCCCCTTCGCGTCTTTGTTCTTCTTCCATCCTCATCTTCATCGCGTGTTCTACTACGCACATGTGGTGGCATACGACGACATGACGACGATGTCGAGCCAACCGTTGCGCTGTGGTAGGAATGAGGTTTGTTGACTGCGGCAGGCTCGCGCGGCTGCGGCTGACGTTCTCGATGGGCCACGATGTTCGAGGGACGTGGAATGCGATACGACAGTAAGCTCAAGGCTCGTGGTGCAAGGAGCGATCGTGTTTGCGCATGCGGAAGTCAATATTGGACACTAAGCAAGAGTTCGCGACGGGAGTTCTCTGGTGGTACGCCATGGATGTCGACCACGGGGCAGAGGCAGTGAAGGTGGCCTATGCAATGTCGAGGGGTTCTAAGATGATCGCGTTGATGGTCAATCCTATCAAGGGCAAGGCACGTACGCGCTCAGAATCTCGGGATTGTCAAAGAAGGTCAGTGCTCCCCGGAGAGTCGTCAGGGGCGGAAGGTCACGACATTTGCCACATCAAACGAGTCCAATGCTTGGTGTACGATCAGAGGGACTGACGATAGCAGACTTCTCGATCCATAGGTCATGGCATACTTCTATCGGCTCATAGCAATGTCGTCAATATCCAGTCACCTTGAGAGTCACATCACAGCACAATGCGACATCTTCAAGCATCGAAGGTACGTGTAGCCGACTACACATGAGATCTCACATATCATCTATGTTACCGACGAAACCTGTATCTGCCATATAGATTTCTGGTGCCGTTATCGCTACGTGGTTGAGTACAATGTCCCCCCTACCTGAAGCCAAGCTCCAGCGTCAACAACATCCCAACCCGTTATCCGCGTCGCCCTTACAGTTCGTGATCAAGCTGCGCTGCTATTGGTTCCACATACTCTCCCGGCTGTCTGCCCTACTCCATGTTCTCTCCGTCTTCATCTTCGATATTCTCCAGCCTTCGCCGTGAGGGAGACCCGGTCGATCGTCCCGAGCCCTGTGACCTAGAAAAAGGTTGCGCGGGCGATTGTGTAGGCTGTTGACCTGGTTGCTGGTGGGGAAGAGGCCGGACCGGGGTCTGGAAGTGCGCAGGATGGGGGCCAACAGGCCTTCGGCGAGGACGAGGGAGATCCGGTTCAGGTGAAGCCTCCTGGCGCGCAACCTGGCGCTCGAAAGCTGCCTGATTCGCTTGCTGGTGAAAAGGTGTCATGGCCGCCATCGAAGACCCAAGTCCTTCGGAAGCCGAGTTGTCACCAATCGTCTGCGTCGTCTGAGGAGGCAGTTGCGGAAAGGCGCCGATACCGTATCCGAAAGGGTTCGATGGGGGAATGCCCAGCTGCTGAACAGCGTTTCTACGCAGCACTGGTGTGAATAGACCTCGAGGCGGAATTTGGCCACCAGCTCCAAACCTGTTGCCGACTCCAGCTTGAGCCTGAGCGACCGCGGATGACGTCTCTGTATTCCTGTGCGCCGCATGGTTCTCTTGAGCGTCGGAACGGCGCCTGTGGTACTCATTCCTGGTCTGATCTCGCAAGACTTCGCCGGCCCGAGCCAAGTCGCTTTCGAGGCCTCGAGATGTACCGCGTGGTGGTGTTTGCGGATCTTGTGGACGAGAAGGTGTTTGCACTCGAGGTGCTCGGAGCGGCGTTGGTGGATCGTCCACTCGTCGGCGATACCTGAGTACAGGTTCTGGAGCGGCGGTCATGTCGCCCTCGCTTTCTCCGTCGCCTTCATCCCCGCTGGTCGCCTCGCGGCCCTCTTCAAGCACCTTTTCGGGCTCGTGTCGGCTGCTTGAAGGCACGCGCGAAGCACGCGGCGGGCTGTCTTCGTTCTTGGTATTTTGAGGACGCATCGCGGAGCTTGTTGCAGGTAATAGCGCAATGAAGATGTCGTCAGGATATAGGGTTGAAGGATTCTGAAGAAGATTGGAGAAAGGGATGCGGTGATCCAGCGTCGTGGTTGAGCGAAGCCTCAATGTGGGGTAATGGAAAGTGAATATATACGCGACTTCCAAACGCACCGGTCATCTCAAGTCAGGCCAGACCTCCAGAGCTCTGGTGACCCAGGTCCACCGAGTCAGCCCCAAAGCGTTCTTTACAGACCTCTATGCGGCGCCAGACCTACGAGAGACGTCAACGACATCCTCGCGACCTAGCGTCGGGGACTATTATGCACTCATTATTTTGATCGAGGAAGGAGATGACGGAACGGACTGGGAGACGCTCATACTAAGTACGATCGCCTGCTTGTTGGTTTTTACTAGAAGATGCTAACAAACTATCTTGTGTCAAGCAACAAGCGTGTAGTGCCTGTACATCATCCTTCCCGATACAAACTTCAATGCCACATCTCAGACTTCTGCCAACATCGTACTGGACACAATGCGACCAAGAAATCAATACTTGTCCTAGCTCCCGAAATCTGGCCACATACTCTACATGTCGTCTAGGCCAATAAGACTTCCTCCTACTTGTTCCTGGTGGACCGCCTCGGCTGTCTACGTACCGTCGACGGCTCAGGCTCCTTCTTCTTGCCTGCAGGCTTCGGCATATGCTCGCGGAGATACTCGTCATAGCCCCTTCGTGCCTTCATCGCATCCTCTAGACTCACCACCTCAGCTTCTTTGTTGCCCAGTTTCGGTAGCCCCTTGTTGTAAAGTGGAAGCGCTGTCTCGTATTCTTCTCTGGTGTCGAAAGAGATAGACCGCCAAAGACTGTCTCTTGACTGCTTGATCAGATGCGAGTGGAGTTTTTGAAGGTCTTCGCGGTACATCTGTAGTGCGAGGTCTTCGTCAGGGGCTGACATGTCGCTCAGCACGGAGGTGTCTTCGAGATCATGGATAGGATCGTCTTTGGCGTTGGCTTGGGGAGCGTCTTCGATACTGTCTTCAACATCGCCTTCAGCATTGTCCTGAACGCCGTCCTCAGCACCATCCTCATCGTCAACCTCGAGAACGTTTTGAGGTTCGAAATGGAGCTCGTCGCTGCCTTTGTCTTCAAGGTCGTCTTGCAGATCATCTCCGAAATCGTCTCCGTCAACATCTACAAGGCGCTCCTCGAACCTTTCAGCGAAATCGTCGTCAACTTCCATCGGCCATGCATCCTCCGCGGCTAGTGAGAAGTAGGCGCCTCCAGCGCCCGTTGGCGCTGCGAAGCCCTCGTCAACCCCAGGAAGTCCAGTTCCCGGTCCAGAGCGGCTGGTCGAAGGCTCCTCGACAGATTGATAGTCGTCGTCAGGCGGGGCCTGAAGACGGTGGACCTTGCGATCGGGGCGTGCAGGAGGCTGAGGACGTTGCGGCCCTGTCGCGTTGGGTGTTCGACTGAGCGCCTCTAACCAATTACTTCGCGGCTTTGGTGGTCTGGTATACCAGTATGACGGACCGCCGAGGTCAGCAGTTGGCTCGTCAGGTACCTCCTGCCACTTGGTAGCCGGCTTGAACTTTCCGTCGTTGCCTCTCACAAGTGGCGTCACTTCCTTGATGTCCACGAACGGCTTCACCCTCGGCTTTCCTGTACTGCGCTCGTAATGGTCGCGCGTCCGTTCGTCGTCCATCTCGTCGGGGTATTTATCGTAGTACGCCAGCGCCCATGGCGAGAGTGACTCTTCATCGTGGCCGATGCCAGTGCGATCTAAGTTGTGCAGCCAAAACCGTGGTCTGTCTTCCCGATAATCGAACTCGGCTACTGTGACTCCCCAGCGATCAGCGAGACCCTCATAGTAGCTTTTCGTAAAGAGACCGTCCTCGGAAGGCTGCGGAGAGGGAGTGCGGCGGGCATTCGGCGATCCGCGTGCAACGTTCGGAGAGGCTGTAGTGTCCTGGATTCGTTGTGAGCGAGACGACGTGTGTTTGGGTATCTTCGCGGTACCTCAACGAAGAAAGCGTCCAATGTAGAGCCTTGGGCTGCAGCATGCGACGATCGCGACATATCTGCCATTGCTGCAACTTGGCTGAGATGCTTTTCTCGAGTGCGAATGGGGGGTGGGTATGTGGGCAGTCTATCTGGGGTCCGTGTGATCTTTGCTAATCTTCTGGACAGTGAATCACAATCTTTCGGCTGCTGACTGCTTAACCCTGGAGACGAGTATGGCATATGGCACATGGCGGAATGCCCTCTCAGTCTCCGAGTTCAGCGTCTGGGATCTCATGCGTACTTGACGCTACGTGAAGCACGAGTATACGCAAGTTGGGCGATCTTGCGGCTCCACTGTTTGCGAAGCATGCATGTGTATAAGGCGCTCGAGTCGTCCGCCCATTAATGTTTTGGCCCTTATTGCCATTGCGATGACCTAAATCGCCATTTGGATGTACAGTGCTCACAAGCGTTCTGTCTAGCAAACCATATTCATCAGTTTGAGAAGATGCCTGAGTTTCTGGTGTGATTACGACGAGATCTTGATGGAAAAAGGAAGTACATTTTAGTTTCGAATAGTCATTGTTCAATTAGCAGCTAAAGGAACAGTGACGTTGTGTAGAGGCTGTTGCGGGTAGTCTATGTACTGGGAAAGACAAGCGAGTCGCGAAGTTTATAGCACGATTTGGCAAACTTCAGCACGGCACGCGTCCCTATTATCACGTTCCTTGGTCACTGAGGGTCGGCTTTGACATCTCGGCAGCTCGCGTAATGAGTGATAGGATGAAAACTTTTCCGAATGCCCGACTATACATCAAGTCGCTATAAACTTTTACGCTTCTGCGTCACGCCCCCTGGATCAAGTTGTTGCTATGCAAGAAAAGACGCGCAAGTCTCTAGTCATATATGGAAACCGAGGCGAAAGCTTTGAGCCTCTTTCGTTCTCGCGACTGAGGGCGCCATAATGGTGCATACACAGTCTCTCCACCACCGTCGAGCTTCCGCTTGGTGCGCGGTCCACGCAACCTCTCAAGAGCCTCTCGATTGTTCTTGGTCAAACCCTCAAACATCTTCCTGCTATGTTCATCTCCCAGGTTCAGGGAACCTCCAATGGCCGAGCATGCATTGGCAAGGGCTGCGAGATCGTTCATGGATACGTAGCGGGCGAGGAGTGTCTGGACTGTGGAGAGCCGCATCGCGGAGACGAATCCGATTTTGTTGTTGGCCAGGCCCCGGATTTCTGTCGTCTTGAAGCTCGGAGAAGCCTTCACACTATCCTTCTTCTCGTCTTGCAGGCGTTTGATGCATTCGTCGATGAGAGGGGCACGCTGGAGCTCTTTTGTTGCGGCCGGACAGGTGGCGTGGAAGATTGGCGATGTTGACACAGGTGGGGAGAACGCGCCAACACCACGCGCGGCGAGGACGTCGTGGTCTATAGCCTGTGCCAAGTACTTGGTGTTGGGGCCCGTTACTTCTGGACAGTGTTAGAGATGTAGGGCGGACGAGTATGGGGCCTCTGTATCATACCGGGTGGACTTGCTGTGTTGCGAGTCGGCGCTTGATCTATGCTGATGATAGGCCTTGCATAGCCGTTGCAGGTAGACATAACGTTTTGCATTTTGGTTGCCGAATTAGAAAAGGCGAGTCTGTCGCGAACGCTGTTGAAGACGTATAGATTGTCACAATTGACGTGCCTGTGCAGTCTCTTGGGTGGTAAGGAGACAAGAGCACATACAAGACTAACGTTCGGCGGCTTTGTAAATCGAAGCATGACCCGGTGACGCTTTCTGTGCTCCAAAGCCGCCTCGAGATCAAACAATTGCCTAGCGCGCTCTCGGCGCGCCTGAAAAGGATACCCTGTTATATGAAACGCAAGCGACCAATAGGCGGTCACGGAGGTGCGGAAGATAGCTCTACGTATGCGAAGTTCTAGATGCTCAGACTCCGCTGGTCAAGTGAGTACACGGCCTGTGACACTAGAGTTTATGAGATAACGAGCTCGGTAGAAAAGAACCCCAAAGACATCAGGAGATGAAGTTGGTCAGTAGTCACATTTCATATAGACGTACCCCCTTAAACAGAGATAATGATGTATCTATAGCATGGATATCCGAGTTCCACCAGGCCCAGGACTTTGACTACATCTGCGACGAAATTTCCTTGTGACACAGCATGACTCAGCTAAGAAAGGACTTCAGCTAAAGAAACCTTGGTCTCGTGCTTATGGACAGGTTCGAAAGGCTGGACGTGGTGACGACGCATTGGCTCAGTGAGCCTACCTACCGGTTTCGGAGGATGTGCCAAGCATTGTTTGGCTACGATGTGCCTCAGTAAAGCGCTGTCTTCGCGTAGGCGTCCCCTTGTTGAGCTGCATATCGCCTGTACGCATACATTTCACTACGAGGAGGCGTTGTTTGGGGGCACAGACCTTGACTGAGCGTCCGGCCATATCTTTTACTTTGCAACTCACAACATCTGAAACAGAGCCCGCTACGCCCCCTCTGGTTCATTTTCAAGATATCTACAGCCGCGAACAGATTCCTGCATGAGAATCGCACCCATTCTACGAATGTAGCGCAGTGTCATTGCGACTAACACCCCTCCAACGAACGGCGAACTGCGCAGAGACGGATCTTGATACAACAAGAATTGTATGCGCTACGATTCGCGAAAACAGGAACTCAAAGACTAACAGTCACGGCAGACATGACTGCTGTTCCATCGCTGGCAAAATTATAGTGTGATCCAATGGCTTTCCACCCAAACGCCTTGACTGGCTTCATCGCCGAGACTCCCACCTCGAGGATAAAGCCAATACTCACGAGAGCCATGATCGAAGCCGACGACCTTTGCATGAGCCACCAGAGCATCGCACCGCTCTTAGCAAGTATCTGGAAGTACAGCTCCAGTTATGTTTCTTCGACACCCACAGCTGTCGAATTGGCTGCCGGCCACCGTTACTGGCTGCCATGCGGATGTCTAGCGGAGGAATGGATAACCTTCTTCACCTTCGCCGAGGGATGGCTCGATTTAGCGCCGCCTGGAGTAAGGTCGGCCTACGAGGAAGACCTGGTCGACAACTTTGGAGTTTGGCCGAGCTTCGCGAGGACCATGCAGGATGAGACCAGTCTGTCCACCAATTATGATTGGTTTCTACCAGGAGAGTTATCTGAACAACTTGCTCCCCGTTGCTCGCATTCTCAGCACTTGACCCACTCACAGACCCCGCGAGTTGCCGAAAAGACCCCATACCCCGACGTCGCCAGAGACCCTTCAAACGGGACTACGCTCAAAGATGGATATGGTCAGCCTAACTTGGCGCGCCGTAACATTACAGACACAACCGGGCTGAGGAGAGGTCTGCTCCTGGGACAACTATCAGAGACCAGTCCTCATGCGCTCCGCCAGTCGTCTGCGGCTCCGGTAGGCTTGTCCGTCCAGTCATTCCCGTTCCCGGCCGTTGTCGCCCCCCAGCGCTTGTCGTCCGCTCATCCTACACAGCATGTACCTCAAGCACGCCCACTGTTAGCGCCGGCCCAGTCCGCACAACAGGCGTCTCAGGGAAACATGCAGCCAGCATCGGCTCTAGTTACAGGCCCTCATCAAGGTCAGCACTCTGTCGCCCAAGTGCCTGTGTTTCCTTTGCGGTCTATACGCAGCGGTGCAGCTGCTTTCGAGCAAAACCCGGGGGCTCCGCCAGTTTTCCATCAGCTGCTTCAAGCAAAGGGTATTACCACTGCGGGTTTCCGACCAGGAAGTGAGCTTCCACCGGGTAACAATAACACCGCCTGGAGTGCTGAGCGCATCCGAGCATTTGTGGAAATCGAGGGTAAAAGCATCCAACGACTACCTTCTCTTGCATTTTCAGTACATGGCACTGAGATGACCAACTTCCGGACACCTGCATCCGTTGACATGCGCTGCTGCCCTTTTGAGACGTCGATCGAGGAGATGTTTACGGCAAGTGCAACATCCGTGTGATTCAAGCACATTAGCAAATCACTAACAACGTGGCAGTACTTTCCAAACAGCTGCACGTCCACTCGCGAGACGTGTGTCCGGGCGATGCGGCATTGGAGACCCATGGACATATCCCGCTACATCGTGAGTGTGGCTTCAAATCTTGGATCTTGACAGAAGACTAAGCTAATGTCATTCTCACCAGAACTACGCACATGATACTCAGACAGCGGGAATCTGTAGTCGTTCGAAGATCTCGTATCATTTCAAAGCCGCTGAAGAGTGGCAAGAGGAGCATCCAGACTTCGTTCCCACCGCCTCCCTTCGCAACGTCAGCAGAGACAGCCTCTTGAAAGGCGAGAACAGGATACTGCACGACTTCTTCCTTTACAACATGGGTGATGGTGTGGCTCATCCACCTGCTGGACGTCAAGCGCAATTGTTGACGCGTGTCATCGAGCACGTTCGAAGGGTCACCGGGGATCGCCACGTTCGTCTCAGTCAAGCTGCTGCGTACGCAAGGCAGTACAACATCACAGTACCGGTTAATGAGCAGATGAACGTCACAAACCTAGCTGTGGAGGACCAGTTGCCGTCGCCCGCGAGGCTTTTGGCGATGAAGGCCGACTACTGGAACAAATTCGGCGACCATCCGTAGTTTGGAGTCGCTGATGAGACAGACGAGCGGGGAGTCGTTGGCGCAAGAGCCGCGCAAATAGGTTTCGATACCCAGGTACTAGTGGAGGCGTCTTTTGTTGGTTGTGCCTTCGGGCGTTCAGTAAAAGGTTGTCGGCGTTGGAAGCGGGGCGGCCGATCCCCAGGTTGCGAAGTTTGCCGCCAAGCATGCCCCTGTCCATAATCAGTTTAGTGTGGGAGGAGCCTCAAATGGCCGAACAGCTGCAACCACCTCATCTTCGCTCATCCATCATGCGACCATCATCACTCGCAACAATTTTCATCAGACCATGGAGCTCATTGCTCGTTGTGATCTATGCTGCGATGCTCAAGCGATCAAAGCTAAGTAGGTAATCAGGAATCAAGGTTTGCGACGGCTCATGGTAGTGTGAGCAAGAATCTGTGATACCATGATTAATACCCATATCAAGTCTTACCCTCGTCTCAAGCTTGCGTCCATTCATCACGTACCGACTGCAACTTTGAAGCCATTTCTTTCTCCGCACATTCTTTACTATCGCGTATATCCTCACTATGCCGGCAAGCACAAAGCCTTCGTGTAGGCTCCATGACACGGTCATGTGTCCATTCAAGTTTCTGTATTTTCGCCACCTGTCATTTGTGCTCGAGCATGCGACTCACAGTTACTTCCCGAAATGGATTAGAGCGTTCTGGCGTTGCGCGGACGACCTCTCCCCCCCACCAAGAGCAGATGGCCTATGGGCTCATGCGAACGCCGAACTCTCGAACAACTCAACCCGGTCGACAAAGCTCTCTACTCATTTGTCTTTTGCATAGCGCTTTCAGCCTCGGCTCAAACATTTCTCATCTTCTTACAAAGTTTTGTGTAACATGGATGCACCGGACAGTTTTACGACGAGTAACGGAGCCCGAAGTAAGCTTCCAAATCGCGATTTTTGTTTCTACTGACACGCACTCCAGACCCCCCAGGCAATGCCATGGTGTCTCACCCATATGGAAATCGACCTGTAGCGTCCATGTCGGCCCCGCGCGGCGTCACGTCGCAGATGGCGAACGAGGTCGACCGTAGCGCCCAGCGAGAGCAACCACCTTCTCTTGCAGACCTTCCTTGGAACAATCCCGCCGTGACGTACACACCCGCACACTACACGCGTCGAAATCTGCTGCAGGACCGGCTTTTGCAGAGCAACGAATATCATCGCCGGCGAGTCAGGGCAGTCATTGAGTTCTCCAGAGATTTATTGATGCGGCTTGGACAGAACCAGGACGATGACGACCTGATACTATACATGATATCCAAAGATCGCCTTCACGACGCATGGATTGATATCTTCCTTACAACGCCTGACTACTATCTGCAGATGGCACCAGCTGAGATTCAAGAAGTATACCATAAGCAGATTGCATCAATGTCAAATGGGGTAAAGATCAACGAGGAGTATACCCTGGGTCGACCGAGAAAGCGAAAAGCTTCTGAAACTGAGAACGGGGTCCAAGTACTTCGCACAGCTAATGCAGTTAACAACGCAGAAGGACAAGTGCATGAGTCTGGTAAGCGACCCCACCACGAGATCTCCGCACTGGCAGAAGAATCACAGTCTCAGCATCGCTCGTCACTACCCTCCGAGAGTCTACTTTCAGCTTGTTCGTCGCAGGAGCTGGACCGCATCTTAGACATGTTCATGCCAGCTCTGAGCGCTCAAGTTGCTATCCCCACAAATGATCCGATAGCGTCTGCGCCAGAGCCGGTGCTCAACGCGATGGCGGTCGCACCGGCAGTGGTAGTAGCACCTCCAAGTCAGCCCGTGATCCCGGTAGCTATGCCTCCAACAGGCGTAACCCCCCAGCCTGGCTTAGCGGACCCCATTGCTGCTTACATGGCTGGTAACCCCTTCAGAAACACACAAGATATCGCCGGTCAGGGATGTGCAGGCATTGCAATGTCCCGTGGTCAGATCCGTGCCTTTGTCGAGATTCAAGGTAGACCATTGGCAAGCCTTCCACCCGCGGCCAACTCCCACCATCGTCATGAGCTGAGGGGTGTGGCTCCACCAAAAACGGTTGATCCTACTTTGATCAACTGTGTCACGACTGCGCAGGAAATTCTCACTGTAAGTCTACTGCTCCGATCTGAAAAGCGCTCACTGATACTCGATCAGTTTCTTCCATTTCAGACCGTGAACTACGAGCTCTGGGATCGCATTCGGAAGTCCTGGGCCCCAAAGGCAATCGCTGATCTCATAGTGAGTTTTTGAATCTCTTTCCATAAGTCACATATACAAGCTTATGCTTACTTAACCAGGCCTATGTTCGTCAGCTACGCTCGGGTAAGAGCTTCCACCGGACGACCTTCCACCACTATCACGATAACCGACCGGAAGACATACCAGAGCATACTTTCACCACGAACGTACCTTCAAACATGTCACCGAGAGGGAAACTGGACAAAGATGCCCGCACCTGGCCTCTTCACGACTACTTCCTTTACCATCTGGGGGACGGAGTAGTGCATTACCCCGCTGGTCGCAACGCACAGCTCATGACGCACTGCGTTTGGCATGTGCGGAATGTATCCCATGACATGGATGTCAAGATGTCGGAGATCGTCCAGTATGCAGCGAAGCACGGCATATCCGTTCCCGCTGCGGATCTGATTCAGCCGGACACAAACGTGGTATTGGAAGACACGCCTTCGCCGGCCTTCCTTGCTATGATCCACAAACATTTTGTGAGCAAGTATGGTAAAAGTTCTGGCGGCATCTAGGAAGCCATACCAAATATTGGAGACGCGGTTTCGTGGCTACCCAGTTGTACGAACAGGAGATGGCTTTTCTGTTCAACATTTGCTGTGGTGTCCCACATCAGTGTTCAGGAACGCTTCATTCGCATGACGGACCGGACGCGGATGCTTGGGTTTTCTTCCCCTTGACCTTTCCTTTGGATACAGAGCTATGGAAATGCTACACAGGAGCTGTTTTGGCAGACTGTGACGCGGAGAGTGATGATCAGATGGCGATATTTGACACATCAAGTAAAACTCATGGTGCATTTTACTTTGCTGCCTGCGTAATCCCGTATAGTAATACAATTACTCTCCTGACCCTAGCTAATGACAAACGCTGGATCCAAGCGCGTGTGCACGTGCTGTATCTATTCACGTGTCGGTGGGGTTATATACTAAAACCATATGACCGACAGACCCTCTTGACATTACCACAGCTCCAACATCGCCCAAACAAGAGCAAGCGACATTATGAATCAGAATAACGGTAAGCTGCCTCAGTCGAATCCCCGTTTAGCTTGCTTGGGGTTCAATGTACTAATTACGGCCGTCACAGACCTCGCGAATAGTGCGGCGTCTCCTTCAGGTGGCTCAGGCTACACGCTGAGTCACATCGTCAGTCATGGCGGTGATAACCCTACTCAAGTCCAAGACTATCAAGCGTCAGATGAACTGACTCGCAACGGACTGCGCGCTGAGGCAGCGTTCAATACACCCATGGTCCAGCTGATCATCAAGGACTTCTGCGACTTGAGCGAGCGACTGGAGCAGATCGGGGCCATGGTTCCCACACAGAGTGGCCTACATTACTGGGTTAGCGACTCCGCCAACGGAAGGGGTATCATCGTTGCCGAGTGTGTCGAACTCTTGAGGTACGCGCCCGGATACACCGTGCGCGTTCCGCATGACGTGCGATTAGCATTTGAAGCCCTCAACACCCTCGAACTCGTAAACCAAGCTATGTATCACAGCCTCTCGGGGTATCTACGATACCTCGAAGCCCAACAGCCGGCGCAGGCTCTCCAAGCTTACCAACCACCACCACCACCTATTCTACTTAAACGCCAGGACCAGATCGTTGTACCGCAAGGACCTAGAACGTCCGGCGTTCGGTCCAGTGGTTCCGCTGGTATCCATCGGTACGAGTGGCCAGAGTCTCGTAAACTTGCCTGGCTTTGCATCACCCCACGTATGGTTCTACCTGAGAAGGCTTTAGAATCTTCATACTGTTCCTTCAACAGCGTAGCGCTGTGGGACCATGTTGACGTCCGACTGATTGGACCCAACATCGAGGTGACTCTTGTGGAGATCGCTGCGGTAGGCTACTCAATCCCTCCCCCATGCGCGCAAAATGAACTGACGAAGGATGCAGTTCTTTCCTCGAGCAGCCTCATGTTGGAGGGCTATCTGGAAGCGCTTCGAAGCGAGCGGATGGAATCTTCATAAGCTGCGTGAGCTGATCGTCAGTACTTACTGCCTCTGTCTTCAACAACCTTGCTAACGAATCTCAAAGTTCTACTCCCGCCAGCTTAGTGTAGGCGATTTACGGGCCCATTCCGCCGGCAGTATGAAGAAGCATCGACGAGATGCTCGTAGTCACATTTGCGCCGCCGCCGGTCTTACGCTCTCTGCGATCAATACCGATCGTGTGAACTCAACTACTGAGTTCTGCGATCTTCGCGACTGCTTCCTTGTCAGCCTGGGCGACGGACTAGTATACTGGCCTGGAGGAGCTGATCAGGGGGTGCTGACCCTTGCTGTCTGGCACGCTCGTCGACACGGCCATAATAACGTACGACTATCTCAACTTGAGCGTTACGTCGAACAAGTACAAGAGGAAATGGTTAAACTATATGGTCCTCTTCCACAGCCTAGTCCCCTTGGTCTCTATCAGACTGATTTCCAGGCGCTGGAGCGAATCTTTCCGCAGCAGACTTACGATGCGACTCGGGTTCATGATCCAACGTACGATGTCGTCCGAAAGTGGTGGGCAGCGGGACGGTATTTTCACCAAGACTAAAGAAGTCATGACCGCAAAGACGCTTCAGGAAGATGTACATAGCCAGCCAATAGGTCTTTCTATGCCTGGCTGATTGATGATCATAGCTGGCGAAAGGTCATGTTAGATATCCAGAGCTGTGCCTACAGCTTACGCTGTGTTCTTGGCGCGATATTACATGTTCTATGTCTTCCCACTAAAGGCCTATCTTATCAGTGTCTCTCTTACTGACAATATGCCCATTGCTACCCATTCCAGTAAGCATTGACGATGTCAAAATGGAACTAAGACTAACCTCGTTGGATGCGGAGCTTCACTACGCAGCCTTTTCAGATTGGTTCTCGTACTAGTGCGTTTCTTCCAGCGCCCTTTCTGGCCTGTGTGATACCCGAGGCAAGAATCTGGCTCAAACTCTGCCTCCTCTCCAACTTTACAGACTTTTGCCAGACCCTATACGGCGGAAGAGCGATGCGTAAGTTGACACCCCTTGTCTGAAGGTCATGTATTGCGTCAGTCTACGCAGCGCCTGCACAATGTTGGTAAAGCTCATCATAGCCCTGACTCTAGATCCACAGCGCCGCGCAGAGACACCTATGACGGGTCTCTAGACCTCTTCCAGCGCACAATGCTCGGTATACCTAGCACAACAATGTCGGAGGACTGCTATGTGAACGCAATTGCCCCTCCAGGGGAGTATATGCGCCACCTGAGCGAAAGCACCACATACCTGGATGTACAAGGACTATTCACAGGCCCAGGAGAGTACGATACCTACTTTGATGACACGAACTCTCTGGGAGTTGGGGGAGAGAACTTCGGCCTCGAGAGCTGGAATACGGCGTCCAGCAAGCCCGCGATCGTCAACCGTTCACAGTGCACTTCGAAGCGCACCGCTCAAGTCCCGCGCGCGACGACCAACCAGGCCACGATCAGCTCCAGCATCAACACCGGTAGGTTATCTTCAGTCAAAAGATGTGATAATGTATCGCTAATACACGCGCTAGCCTTTCCAGCATACGACTTTGACTATGCGATAGCTTATCCGCATAGGATAGACGAATTCGAAAACGCTACACCGCCCTTCCCATACCCGCAGTCGCTTGCAGGAGACATCACAGACGTCGGCTTTGATACTCTCAATCAACAAATCCGGAGACGTCCGCAGCTGGGCTTCGACGAGAGGAGCCACGGACAGTTCGCATCTAAGTCATTTTCTCGTCTTCAGAAGCCTCGGAATAACATTGCACCTACGGGGCTCACTCTTCCGCAGGATTCAGCCCAAACGTTCCTCTCTCCAGATCCGTTCCACAGCGCACAGCCTCAACTTCTCCCCGATTGGAAGGGCGCACCGGTGCCAGGTACGAATCTGCTCAGACTCAGCCACGCATGCTTTCTGGGGACCATACCCCTTCCAGATATAGCATTTCATGCGCCTGGGATGGCCATATCTGCAAAGACTGAGGAAGTGCTTCGACGACCTGTACCAGAGTACAAGGCTGGGGCCACTTCGGTGGCGGATGTATCCATGTTATCTGGTATGTTGGCTGTCCAGCCCTCTATTACTGTTCTTTGGCTTTTGGTCACTGCCAATAGTCCATGTCAATGCATGTCCTCTTCCCATCTAACTAGAATTTGTAGGAGACAATTCTCGGAGTGGACATGATTTCTTTGATGAACAGTCGTCCCCTATCTAAGTACATCGAGCACTTGACCGCCTCGAGAGAAGAACACTGTGAAGGAGGACTCTAGTCGGATGATGGCGAAGGAAACGTGGTTGTCTTTGCTGTGGCACACCAGCATAGAACTCACCGACTGGGTGAGCGCCGCGCACTGTTTGTAGCTGGGTGTTTTGAGGACGGCTTTGTATAGCACATACCACATTAGACCAATCAGACGAAGTGTATCTGACCCGAAGATTGGTCCCTTGAAGTTTGGTAGCAAACCTGATGTATTAGAGACCGAGCACGATCGAGTACATTAAGATGATATCAGAGCTGAGCGACCATAGCATATTCCATACTCGACGCCTTGTATTATATGGCGACAAAGCTGCGGTGTTTAGAGTCCACCCGTCAAGACCACTTCTACCCGCCGCATTATTGTCTTTTAAGTGTCTCTTCGCATCGCGACAAGAGTTTTCAGATCTCCCGACCTGTTGTAATTTTCTTTAAAAGACCGTATATTGGCAAGCACATGGTGGCTGTGAAGGCATCATGAAGGCTAGCGCAGCCCCTTGGCCGCAACAGCCGAACGCGGACGTTGTACCCTCGTCGACCCGATCTTTCGCTACCCTCAACATCCAATCGCTGCCCCGCGCCCTGCTTAAGCTCTTGTGTTGACGATACTTCTCTTTTCTCTGCGGCCTGCTTAACTCGACATACATACAGCAGCCATATCTCACCAAGCTCGCTAGTATACCCACTCAGTGCAATCCTTGACAAAGACAACTGGTAAGACTCGCATGGCGCGCTGAGCCCATCATCAACTGACTTGTCCTCCTTGCTACAGATACTATACTCTCAAAACTGATCGACGATCTTCGAGATCTTTGCCGCAACCATCAGCGCACCGCAAATCACTCCGCTGCACTTACCGCCATCTCAGCCGAGGGAGCCACCAATGCCGCCGCAGCAATACCCCGATAATTGGGCGCGACACGAAAGCCACTCGTCCATGGAGCGAGCCTCTGAAAGCCAAGAGCTCTCTCGTCCACCGCAGTCCCATTATATCGGCGAGATGTGGTCCACCGGCGCAGACGAGCTCGTCTTCGGCGCCACCCTCGGCGTAGATGAAGCGCACCAGTCCGCGCATGGCCATAAAAGGTTCCCTGACGCTATATATCATGTACTGGAAAATGAACAGCCAGTGTCGTCGTTTCTGTCGCAGTCTATGCGTGATCCAGAGACTACGTCGCCGGCTAGTGACCTTTCCGGGTACGCTTTCGCCCCTCATGAGCCTCTCTGTACGCCTAGAGACAACATGCACCCCACGATACGACATTCGCCATATCATGCTCCATATAGAAGCATACCTGCTATACATCAAGTCCGTATCGCGTCCAAGAAAGAACCCCAGAAGACTACGCTGGGAGCGCTCAGTAAGGCCAATAGAGTGGCCAAGCCTTATCAACATACAACCAGTGTGAACGTCAAGGCCGTCGCTAATTATGACTTTGGAACTGGCGACATCCATCGCTTACCGTCTGCTAGTCCACTGCGCCGCGATCTATCACCGCAACTCGCCAAACCACTGGCAGCAGCGAGCTTGAGAGCCGGTAAAGATAATCGCCATGACTTACCAACACCGCATGTTGAAGCCGAAGGCGGGATCTTCGCAGAGATACGTCTTCGAACGCCAAGCGAGTGTCAAGGAGGCAAGAATCTTGCTCGAGCATTGGGCTTCCTTGGAGGTAGAACCAGTCCGATCGGCCCCGGCGTCTCAGGCTTTGACTTCACAGTCGCCGACCTTATCGACGCGAGGCGCCGGAATCCTGGCCAACTTACCATACATCGACAGGCGCTTCTTGGTTCCGAAGACTATAACTCAGCATTCGAAGAAGACGCACGGCTGAGCCGAGACCTCTGCAATCAAGCCATTCTAGCATCCCCTCCTGATGCGTTACCGGACGGCACCTATCTTCTCGATCTTGGCGGCGGCTTCCACGTCGCAGTCCCGCTTGATCCAATGATCGAAGCTACGTTCAAGCAAGGCGGCCAAGGGACCATACCACCCGAGGGTCTCGTACGTATCGCCACGGAGATGAACATCGACATGAAAGACTACCGTGTTGATGGTAAACCGCACCCGGTATACAGTATGGGCGCTCCAAAGCAGGTTGATATCCGGTACTTGGGCTCGACACCTATAACTATAGTGGAGATGGCCATCGTGAGTATATATCGGTCGCTCAATCGAAGACACCGCAGCTGATGTATTGTATAGTGGTTTCCTGCGCATGGCTCACTCTGGCCGGACTGGACACAGCGATTCGCTCGAAGTGGCTGGACGCAGAACAACATCGCTGACTTGATTGTGAGTTCAGTCCTCCTTCCCAGCTCTTGTCTTTCGTAGGCTAATGTTTTGAAGAACCGCGCTTACAACACCGACGCCGTCGAAGGTGTCGGCCCGTCGACCATCAGTCAGCAGACGAACAAACATGGTCGTGAGATCCAAGAATTGGCTGGCTCTCGTGATCAGGAACATCAGCATCTCCCTGCGATCGCGGCTTCTCCAGTTACATCTTTCTCTTGCGAGAACTGGACACCGCCTGGCAACGAATACCGACTGGTCGACTACTACGTCCGCGATCTTGCGAACGGCGTCGACCGTGATGACTTTCCTTCCGGTTCAGACAGGGGTCTTCTGACTCAATTGATTGAGTATGTCGTCGACAATCTAGATGAGTGGGGTGATCTCTTGCTCAGCGATGTTCAATTCATCGAAGATTCGGGTGGTTACTTCCAGACAACAAACCCTGCTTTCGGACCTGGGATGGAGAACCCAGACGAGGAGGCTTTTCGCCGTCACAGGCTACAATTAAAACGATATCGCAAGACAATGGCGGATTATCGCATCCAGCAAAAGAAGGACAAAGCAAAAGTCGTGATGGGGAGCCAAGACCAGGCTCAGTGATCAGTGAGGCTGAGCTTCAGACATACCAGTCATTCCGGGTACCGCTATGTCTTCTCACGACACCTAACGGATGTGTGCTATGGATAGACCCTAGACCTGTCTCACAGAGGTCTCAAAGCCATCGCCCGACTTTCGATACTGCGGTAACCCCCTCAAGAGGCCGCCACCTCGCCATCGCGGTCTCACGACACGACTCAACCATATGAGGAACACGGTCTTGGGTATTCATCGACGTCAGCGAGAACCTCAGCGATGCGTCTCGACCAAGGGTCCTGGTGCGTCATCTTTGAGCAACGGCAAAAGGGCTGTCGGAAATGTTTGTTGTTGAAAACAAAATTGCGGTGGGATGCGAACTAAGCCCAAAACTGCAACATCGCTCCACGTCTTGTGTGTGAAGCCACCCGGTCACAATTTTGCTCCAATTAAGAAGCTTCCTCTCGTCTCAAGGATCGGCTGGAAAATGCTTCAAGACTGCTCCTCGCTTCCTGATCACTCACGTCACATCCTAGCGATAATATTAATGTAAGCCATACAAGGGAGAGATTGCGAACTTAGCATTAGTTAATCAGTTGGCCAGATCCTATCTTCGGAATACGAGTCAGTCTTCCTCAATTAGCAGAGTGCGTCACACAACATCAGCCACGACGAGAGAAGGAAGGAGTCAAAGGATTGATGGATTTATATATCTACACCCGATTCAAGAGTCGACCAGAAAGACCGCAAGTACCGAACTTCAGATGTGGTGGCGAAAGAACAAGGCTCACTCGTGTGTTGAGCAAGGACTCATCCGGGGAAAGAGGCAGTGTATTGTGTGAGCTTTTGGGAATCCACGAAAGCTTCATTATCCTGCATTCTTACAGTCACGACCCATAGATTTTCCTGTCACTCAATCAAGAATTATTAGTGTGACGAAACATTAGATGGATTGATGCTATACTTCAGTGCCTCTGTTGCGCAGATCATTGAAGTACATGAGAAGAGACGACCGAGCCAGTGGAAGACATGCTACAGGAGTATCTGGTCGGGTATCATGAGCGTTGCATTGGAATAAGATATATGAGAAGACAAGGAAGGGATTCAATATAGATCTCGTAGTCATCCAAATGATTTAGTAGATGATTCCGTGCGTGTTGCTGCGACATTAGTCTATGAGACGAGTAATTTCTAACATAGTCGAACGGTTTGCAGATGTAACATTCGCTCAAATAGCAAAGTTCATTACATTAAGTACAGCGCGAGAGGTTCACGTGATGATAGAGACGTGTGTTTAGACACGACACAGTAGCTTTGAGCAATTTAATATTCATCTCAGACAGTATCACGCACGATATCACATCCGCGACTGTTCCCAACAAGATTCCTTTGTTCACGTCGACTGAAACAATTCGCACGTTTACTCTTATCCATTGGCACGTCTATGACTGTAACGCTGAAAGAGCTTCGCTTACAAGCTACGAAAGGCAGTCTAGACGTCTACATGCCTCCTTTCCATTTATCTGCCAGTATACCATCCTCACACTTGAACTTCACCACAACACGCCGCTCAAGCCTCAGTCCTCCCACCTATAACCGTGAGCCTCTACATCCTTCCTGACCATAGCCCGATACTCCTCATGCAACGCCACATACCTCTTCAAGAAACCCGCATCGCTGTAGCCGGCCTGAAGATTTCGATCGATAAGCCAATACGCAATGAACGCATCTAGATCAGCCAGCATAAGGTTCGAGCGATTCATGAACTGCGCTTGGAAGAGGGCTTCGGTAAAGGGACCGCGGTCAAGACCTTGGGGAAAATTGCACGGATGAACACCCTCGGCGCAGTCGATAAGCGCGTATGGTGTCTTGGTGATGTCGAAGCCCGTGTGTCGGTTGACACCGGGTGTGAATGTGTAGTGACCGGTCGTGTGGATGATGGGCTGCGGTGGCTGCGGTGCAGCTCCTTTGACAGGCTTTGTCACCCCCTTCCTCTTTTTCCAGTCCTTTACCCAGGTGCGTGCGTCCATACCGAAGAGACAGTCCAAACCTTGGAGCAAGTGCTGACGATTCTTCGCGATGAAATGTCAGCTCACAATGACGCGCGTTCGGGTAGCCATGGAAGAAGACTCACAATGATCCAAGCCTGGAATCTTGGGTTGATTCCGCTCTGTGCGAAACGGGCTTGTACTTCGGGAATCTGCGCATGTAAGGGAAAGAACTTGAAGCGAGTTAGCAGTGTCTCGAGAGACTGTAACGAGTCTCATACCGTAAGGATCTCCAACGCGGTCAGCGGGATAGTGAAGACGGATAGATCGAATTGTGAGGGGGTCACAATACTGTGCAGTGGATGGAAAGGCCTCTGAAGTACATCGCGGGGCGGCATATGGTTGTACAATCCGGTATGGATGAGTTGATGCGATACGGACGGCGAGTATAGGTCCGTGAACCCAGGTCCAAAGTAACGCATGCTCTTGTTGCCTTCTTTGAAGTATCCGTTTTCGTCGAAGGTAGTGCGGCCTTTCTTGACTTTGACGTCGTGCTCTGAATCGAAGTCGTCATCGTCGTCTTCGTCGGCGAAGGCGGAAGTCGGTCCAGATCTCGAGCGCTTTCGGGTGTGCACTCGTGGGGTAGCGCCGCTAGGTGCACGCGCACGTTGCTGGTTCTCCCTGCGGTTAACGTCGGGGTTGTTGTTAGGTGTTTTCCGGGGCGCTTTGGAGGCAGTGCCACGCTGGCGGCGGGTGGTGGGACTGCTCATGACCGTGATCGAGACGGGAGATGAGAGACGAAGAGGCTTGATACCATTAAAAGATTGGGCGTGTAGAAGAGGCTTGTTTTGTTTGCCAATACTCCCTCACTCCAGGAGATAAGCGAGCACCCTAGAACCGACTTTGACGTCAGATTTTCACATTTGCTTGTCGAATCCTAGTGAAATCTCCATCTCTTCGGGGTATTTCACGTAAGAGGGTGTGCAGCTCCTCAACGCGACAAGTCTGGGGGCGGAGGGGATCATAGCGCTAGTAGACCGGACCACGGGTTTCTAGCAAATGAATCAATCGGCTGCCTAGCAGCGGAGCAGCAATGATAGAGAACAGGCTACGATTTTGACTCGGAGTGGGGCCTTCTCTTGGTTCGGGCTAGCCATTGAGAATATACTTTGATAGGCAATATGATTGTGATAGAGCTTTGAGGAGCAATGAAAGAGCTGGGCAACCTGGAATACCAGTCATCAGAATTGATGCATACCTGTATGTACCTACGCGTGCATCTCGTCCTGATCAGACAAGCTCCAGAAACGCTGCACAATCGCATCAGGAAGCGCAGGCAGGTGGGTCTTCATTGGGCGTACCACCAGCTCTTCGCCCTTTCCCAGGCAGAGAAGCACGGCAGAACCGTTGCTCGTGTTCTCCTTTACCGTTGTCTTTAACTGTCCAAACAACCATACAAGCTTACGAAGAGCTGCTTGCCGCTTGCCGTCATCGTCGTAGTTTTTCCTCATCTCCTCCGAAGTGAAGATCTTCTCGGTTGAAGAGAATACACCATCCTTATTCGTACCAAGCGACCATCGCGAAGTTCTACCGACCCAGATCTGATCGAGGGGCTTGCTCTGGTTGTTGCTCTTTAGCTCCATTGTCCTGCTGTGAGGGATTGGCTTTCCTGCCAGGAGGACAACGGTCGATTCGGGGCTGTTGTGTTGGATGGTAGTGTTTGCAACTTCGGGTTTGGGATGTGATGCGGCATGTACTAACGTCTCTCGGATCTCGTCTCTGGAAGGCTGACTTTCAGGCATATATGCGTCCGTCTCTGCTCTGACTACAATATTGAGCCCACCGAAGTCGTATTGTAGTGTGTGGTGATGTCCTTCCGCATCTTGAAGATCAGGTTCCAGTTGCGTCGTCCAAGCAGCCTCGAAGTTCCGCCCGTACGATCCGTTTGTAGAGCCGGCCATGCCGGAGCGAAGCCGTCGCCCCACAATCAGAGTGTTGCCAACGACGTGGAGGGTCAATGCGAACGGCTGGCATGATACATCCTTGACGTATGTAATGAGCGCGGTCATTGATCCACGAGCGACGAGGACATCAACGTCGTCGAAACGCTTGCTTGGCTTCATGACAGTAAGAGCCTGGAAGAGTGGCTCGAACTGAAATCGCGGTACCTTGGCTACATGTTGATCGATGTAATAGCGTCCTGTGTCCGGCTCCAGTTTCAATGGGGCAGGTGGCTTCGTGAACATCGGCGGAGTGCCAGGAACGTAGATAGTAGGGGTATCGGTGTACGACTTGAAGCTGTAGCTGCAAAGTAGCTCATAGCCCTTATCCGACCCATGGTTTGGCGATTCGGGTATCGCCTTGGCCAGCATATTGAAGCTGATCTCGTTGCTCGTGTTGGCGTTCATCCAAGGATCATCCCGTCTGCGCTTTAGATACCTCTTCCACCAAGCCACGGCGGACTTCCATGTGCTGCCTTCTACGTAGACACGGTCGAGGGCGATGATGGTAACCGAGTAAACAGCTAGTGCAACCAAACCCTGCCACTTGCTCCATGACTTGGAAATATCCATATCGACAGACACCAGGTCCGACTCGTATACTGCAGTCGAGAGTGGGCTGAACAACGTGGAGCAGGTGCGGAGTCAGGAGGATCGTGTGCTGCACTCTTGCTTCAGTAGTCGATCTAGGGGTTGAGCGAACGTTAGGCAGAGTGGTGATAAGCTTCCGGGTGGTCGGTGTGTGAGCTAGGCGGTGGGATGGTAGAGTTCGTATATATCGATGAGCAATAAGGTATATATACGGTAGAAGAAAGGCGAGGCTACACGCATAGGCTGCAGCCAATAGATGGCAGTAATGCAGGGAACGATCAACGTCTGCCACGAGTGCGTGCTTCATTACGCCGACCCCGATAGGGTTGAGTGAATTCATAGCGAGAGAGCTGCAAATCGCGGTCGGCAATCGCTGCCTTCGAGTCGATAACTCGATATTAACGAGCCCAGTGATTGCCATCATAACCAGCAAATCGTCACGCCCACA